TTCAAAAGACTCAGTAAATAGATTATAGAATTTTAAAACATTTTAGAGACAAAACTTATGGTTTTCTATGTTTTAGCATGAACTAATGATAGCAAACACTTTGGATTTAAGATCACTCCTTTTAGTTTTCTGTAACATACTTTGTTATTTATCACTTATTTTATCCCATATGAATACATTATAGAATGTCTCTTAGGTCTGCGCCTTGGAAATACTGGACCAGTAAAAACCAACAGATTTATGTTATAACAGTCCAGAATATGTGTGTATGTCTAAGGCTTTTTTTTTTAATTTTGTTTATTTTCTATGACTGTAGCTTGTGAGTGCAGTACCTTTGGGCAGCTGATGAATTTCCTTAAGCAGCAACAAGAAGTAGGTGGTTATCTGCAGCAAGTTAAGTAAGCCAGAGTGTAAACTAGAGTTCCCTAATCTCTACTTGATTTGTTAGTGACACAAATGATGGACAAAAGTATAAGAGTTGTAAAGCAGACGTTTCCTTCAGATTCATAGTGAATGATCCTCTCAGGGATTCCCTGAACAACCTGATCTGCAGGAGAGCGCTGACGTCACGCTGCTCTTCCTGTTTAAAACCCTCCCTGCTGCTGTTATTAATGATCAGACGCTCTGTGATGGGAGCTGACAGGCAGGAACGCTCTGACACAAGTATGAACTGAATTTTATCACAAAGGGAAGGAGAAGGAGAGAGGCAGGAGGGAGGAGGGAGGGTAACAAAAAAATCCAGTAGGAGGAGGACAGGGGGTGAGACAGACGTATAACAGCAGAGGAGAGATGGAACAATAAGAGAGAGAAGAAGAAATGCGAGGTGTAGGAGACGCAGTAGCTGCTTGTTTTACTCACTTGACCAAATTTAAAGGGAAATTCATACCAGCAGCAGCAGTGATATACCTTTAGTTCTACATAATGGTTGCATTTTATACTTTTATTAACTGCTTGGTGGTGATCAGTTTGATATATTGTTCATGTCCACGTGTTTGTTGATTCCCAACGGTTACTGAAATACAAATAAAAGTCCTGCTTTCAATATTTTACTTTAAGCCCCCCTCCACTAAAAAAACCTCCACTAAAAAAAAGTGCTTCTTCTTGTCCCTACAGCGTGCTGTTTGAATGCTGTCTGTGCAGAGTTCAACACTAGAAGGATATTTTCATATTCATCTGCTGAAAGTGGAAAGGTTGTCTGTTCTCTAATCTGATTTTAAGGG